TACAATTTTTTTAGGCGGTTGCAGCACGAGAACTGGAAGATGTTTCAAGTCTCGAAGAGAAGCTGGGTCGTCCGCTGCTCAGAGAAGAAAGAAATCACGTCGGAGTTAGCCGGCTTCGATGGTTCTTAGAACAAATCCTGCAGCGCAAGTAAGCGTGATAGATGTTTTTTTTTTTCGCTAGAACTTAGTCAGATCGCAGGTACATGGAAAGCGTTCCATCCATTGTCCCGCTGCTGGATAGAGAATACCGGAACGTCACCTTAAAGCTGCATCAGACTGTGACTGACTTGAGGTATGAGCTTTTCTCTCTCGTTTCTTTGGCTAGCTAAACTCTTTGCTGCAGTGACTTAGACGAGATCAAGCTCAAGGAGCGTGGTCGTGTTTTCAGAGACTCTTTTCTCGCAAAGGTTCGATTTTGTCGCTAGAAACTATCTCTTGATTGAGAAACTTTGTACTTTCAGCTCTCGCTTTTACTCAAAGGAACAGTGGTGGCGCCACCAGAGAAGTTTGGTATGAACGGACGAAGTTTACAACACGAAGATCTCACCACTTACAGAAATTTTTTGCAGGTGAGACGTTGCAAGACGAGCGAGTTCACGGAGGAGCGTTTGTAGGTGCAGATGGTCTTCAATTGCCTTTCAAACACATGCCGGTATGAAGCTCATGTTTCAGGCCTCTGGTGTGAGAGATCTCGTTTTGGTTTAGAATGCCGGGATGCGTTTGTATGGAGGAGCTCAATACCACAGAGCCATGGCGGAGTTTCGTTTCGTGGTTGGAGGCATGAAGTGCCCGGTAATCACCAGAGAAGAGATTGTAAACGCCTGTGGAGTCGAGGACATGCACGACGGAACGAATTACTTCAGGTTTCCTTACTTGGTTGCGCCTCGTTTCTTATCGAAAATGTGTTTTTTCAGGACCGCTTGTGTCATAGCTGTTGCGAAAGGCAGGGACGTGTTTGAGCCATTTCTTCATCAGGTAGATCGAACGATCACTCGTCACGTACTCACATTCTCGTCGTGTTTATCAGCTGGGATTCAGACTCTCGCATGTTTTGCGAAGACTTTTGCCTATTGCGCTGTTCCTACTCCAAGTAAGTGTTGTTCTCGTTGCTCCCTGAAGAGTTCATGGCCGAGACTTACAGAAAGACGGGGAGTATTTAAGTAACCACGACATGTTTATGAAGCGCGTGTCAACCGCATTCCATCTCTTCGTGGAATGCACAGAACGAGCATGCCGAGAGAAGTAAGCCTTTCTTTCTCGTTTTGGAGTTTTTCTAGCTTTGATTCATCCCAGGTGCATGGAAGATCTTTTGAGCACAACGCGCTATGTCACCTGGTCACTGCATAACAGGGTAGCACTCGGTGAAAACGTCCTAGCCTGTGCCTAAAAATCGGAATTTTTTTTGTCCACTGTAGAACCGGGCTGGACTGCGACAGTTCCTGGATACGGTCTCGCTCGAGCAATCGATTCTCACAAACAGTGCAGGAGGATCTGGCGATCTCGTGAGCGTCGCAAGCAACGGGAACAAGCAGGAAAACTCGTCCAAGGTGCTCAAAGGCCAGGACTCGTCCGGGGGCCAGATGACGCAGACGAGGCTCGTGGATCTTCTCGAGAGCACGCTGTGGAATCGGCGCCTCGCGCAATCGTCCGAGGACATCGTGAACGCTCTCGTCGCAAAGATCTTCGAAGGCATCCGGGATCACTTCGTCACAGCTGCCGAGTTGAAAGTAAGTTCTTCCAACTTTTCTTCTTTCCAACGGTCGAAAGCTCTCAAAGTTCTCAAGGTTCTTTGTGTTGTTTCGCGCAGTTCAATTGCTTCTTCCTCATGCCCGTGGTGGACAAGTTCCCGGCGCTACTGCGCGAGGATCTGGAAGTCGCGTTTGAGGAGGATCTCGATCGCGTGTTTGACGTCCAGCAAGCGAGGCAAGTGCTGGAGCACCAGAGGATGGATCTTGAGCATGAGCTAAGACGGGTATGATTGAAAAATCTGTGCTTGCTTGGGAACAAAATCCGGTTTTTCCTTGTCAAACAGGTGGAGAGACTCCAAGAAAAATTCGCGGGGATTCATCATCAGCTCAGCAGCGCTCATCCCGTCACAGTTCCTCCCAAGGACGTGGCCGAGGACTTCTCTTCGATGCTCAGCATACGCGAAAAACAGTTTGTCTAGTCACAACGACGATCTCCATTTTTGCGACTCACAATTCTCATTTCCATTTGCAGAGCTTCCGATTCGTGAGAGCTTCCAAGGAGGTGAGGAAAGAAAGTTAAAGCTATTCTTCCAAGTCAGCATCTCTCATAAGAGATGCCATTTGTTTTGTGATAATAGGAAGATTTATCATGGGACTCCAATTTTTTCCTGGCAAAACAAGAAAGAACTGATCTTCACCAGGACTTTCTTCCCCTTGCCAGTGCCGCCGTGTTGAAATCCAAGCATGGCGAGATACGGTCGGAACGATGACATGGAGCACTGCGTCTCCGCAGCCATTCAATATTCCCGTGTGCTTGCAGCAGGATGGTGGCACGAGTGCCGCATTTGGACAGCAAAACTCAACATCAACCTGGATATGCTGCTGGATTGGATTAGTTGGAGCGGACAAGCGGAAGAATTTCTGCTTTTTGTCTACAAACAATGGGAACTCGGCCTCCGGTATACAATTCACTGGGGTGCCAGGCGCGCTTCACATGTCCAGCATACAACTTCCACACTCTCCACGGCCCGATTTCTCTCTGACGCAACGCATGCATCCCTCACGACATACTTCCTTCAATGCCTTGGGGACCGACGGCGGCAACTCCTGCATGATCTTGAGCCAGAGTTCCTGTATCGTAAGACCAAAAATCTGGCACAGGTACCATGCCCCACCAAGCGCCACAGAGACCATAAAATCTTTTCTTCTTTCTTTCCGCTCTTCTTTTCCTTCTTTCCATTATTTTGCTGTTCGTGTGAGTCATGGCTTCCTTCCAGGCTGTGGGAGAACTGGCCTGGAAAATGCTTCCGACTGCATGGAAGACTATATGATCCCGTCGACTACATTTGCATGTGGTATCCTTCACAGCTGGTTGATCTTTCGTGATGAACAAGTGTGAGGTTTGATTTCCGCCAGGGCATACTCTAGGTTCTTTTCTTCCTTATCTGCATATGCATCCGTCTTTGGATGGGACCTTTCATAATCGACATATGGACCTTGATAGACCATCATTTAATTATTAATATGGTAGATTGATCAACAGAAGATGCTGCAGAGAAAGAAAAGATCAGAAGTTTCTTCCATCTTCTACACAAACCCTAAAAACTCAACAATATTTTTGTTCATAACTAGAGATAAAAATAAATCCTCAAAAATGTTTTAATGGATGAAGATCATCATCCTTTTTACATCTCATAAGGGTTTCATGTGACAACCATAAAGGACAATTGGCACTGAACTAAAAGGCAAAAACTTGAGCATGAGAAAGACCACAAAAAGATATTGAGATTCCTATGAAGAGGGATTTTGCTGTTATTCAGTCATGTACTTACAAAGCTAGTGCTAGCACTGATTGGTCCTAAAGTTATGACATGGAGAATGTAAGTTTTAGTGAGAACTTATGAAGGAATCCAATAAACAAAAACTTATAATTCACTGCCTCCTTGATGTATATGGCTGTGGATGATGGATTAAGAGTTTAAGCAAAAATTTTGATCACTATCCTTGTATTGGCCAATTTTAACCACGTGGTCAACGTGGGTCAAAGGTAAACTTAAAAGTGACATGGACTTGGGATAAGGAAGTAGTTAATAGAAATAACAAAATTTGAAATCATGATATGAGATTACAATTGCAAAATGATTGTATATCTAACGTCTGAAAGAAAAAACCTTGTATGACAATGGAAAAGAAAAAGCCATGTTATGACACCATTATAAACATTAACTTTCACTCCTACATTTAGAGATATTTCAAGAGTCTCAACTTAAGTGGATGACTTTTAGCTCTTTATTTTCTGAGGTCCAAAAAGAGTTTACCAACTGTGGCAAAAAAGTAATAATGAAGTCCTTTCAAATATACAAAAATAAATGTGTACCTCATGCCATAGAACTCTACAAGCACAATGTGCGATATCATAAGCATAGCTAGGATAAACCAGCCTCTGCATTCCCATGACCGTGAGAATTGCTGGAAGTCCATGCTTGTTCTTCTTTTGGAGCAAACGATAATAACATTCTTATCAAACAAACATCAACAGCCAACATCAAGCATGGTACGAATATCTGGACAACTCTCTGCAAACATTTACTTCATTAAATTAACAGGGAACAGAAATTTACAATCTAGATGAAGTCAATGTACTACTGAGCTCCTCATTTAAATTGAGTTCCACTGCTGGGAAAAAGAAGAAGGTCATCCATCGGAGAGGAAGAGGCAGCTTGTCCCTACTCCGCCCAGGGGGAAGCAGAGGGGGTTGGAGCTGGCTGGCAGGGTTCCCAGCAAGATCAAAATTTGAGAGCTTGGGATCCTGAGTGAAGATCTGAAATCCTGAAGGATTTGCCTAGTCATGTAGGTACTCTAATCCTTGGGCAGCTGCTATTTTATCTTTACATTCCAGCCCAACAGTTCCTGGTCGGCTAGCATGTCCTGTAAAAGAGTTTCAAGAACCAAGCTTACCTAATGGGCAAGAAACCAGGGGCTTAATCTAATTGTCTCTGCCTCTAGATAAAGAAACAAGAGACCAAGAACAATAGAATACGGCCAAAGCCTCTTTCACTGAGCTACCATTTTTTCTTCACGAGAGGACCTCTCGGCTTTTCTTTGGTTGCCACTGAGCCCGACATGATGCAAACCATAGGACAGTTGTAGGGCTTCTCTTGAGCCGGACAGTCAAGAGTAGAGAAAAAACACCACTTTAGCGAGCCTGTTTGTCTCGGTTTGAGCAGACCAGAGCAAATTCCCAGTCTGCCAAGGCAATCCATCTAAAACTCATCCATTTCCGTTTATCACACGTCCTTATGTGAACCATCCAGAAGAAAAAGAATCTACATTTCTTTTATACTTTTTTTTTCTTCCATACAAAAAAAGTCATGCCTTTTGACGCTGCAACCAGAGTTGTCAATCGCGAAACTAGTTGCAATCGTACCTGAGCGTTGAAAACGCAGTTACAAATCTTTCTCCGGGACGAGACAAAGATCCGCGTGAGCGATCGCTCACTTCACGGGCCCGTCAGCGATCCTGGCCTTGACGGAAACACGGAGATTTCCCAGTCACCTGTTAGCATGGCTCGTACCTGGACCATGTGTGGCCGGCTCTTGACGGAGTCTTGCGTGCACAAGAGCGCAATGTGGATGGCTCTGAAAACTTCCTCCTCCGGGAAATCGTTGTTGAGCAGTGGATCGACCAGCTCCAAAACTTTGCCTTGCTCGTATAGTTTCCAAGTCTGCGTTTGTGTCACTTCGGCCATGAGAAACTCAAGAAAGAAAGAGAAATATATAAGCTACTAGCACTGACCCATTGTACGAGGAACACCGTCTCCATTGGTAGATCTGGTTCGAAGTTGTTCCTCCCACTCACGATCTCCAGGAGCAAGACTCCAAAGCTGAATACGTCGGCCTTGTCCGTCAGCTTGCCTTGAGCGACTTCCGGAGCAATGTAACCCCTGAAGCCAAAAGGCATCAGGACTTTTTCTACGCGGAAAAGGTAAAAGATACTTACAAAGTTCCACTGAATCTTGAGTTGATGTAGCTATCCTCGTCAGGTAGAAGGCTTGTAAGACCAAAATCCGAGATTTTCGGTGTGAAGTTCTCATCAATGATGATATTGCTTGCTTGGATATCCCCGTGGATAACATGAGCTTCCTCATGGAGATAATTAACACCCCGAGCGATCCCAATCGCAATGGTCATTCTTGTTTGCCAGCTTAGGCATTCGCCATTATCTGGGTCTGCAATGGCTTACGTAAGAACAACTTAGAAGATTCCAGCTAGCCAAGAGAAACTTACTGAAGAGAAGCCGCGAGAGTGGTCTTCCGTTCTCGAGGAACTCGTACAGCAGAAATTGCTCATCGGCCTCGATGCAGCAGCCCATGAGCTTGACGAGATTTGGATGCTCAACAGCGAAGATACTGGAAACATCGCTAGCGAACACACTGTGGTCTTCTTTGTGATACTTTGATGAAAGCTTCTTCACCGCAAACTTGGTTCCATCCGACAATTCACCCTGAAGATAGAAAAAACCGAGCGAGCAGGAAGAACGATTAGCCACAGAAAGATTAGAAAAAAAAAAAATACAAACAACACTAGCCTTGTAGAGCTCGCCAAATTTTCCCTCGTCAATCTTCTTCTCGGGAGCGAAGTTCTCTGTAGCGGATTGTAAATCGGTGTAAGAGTAGCACGCAACTGTCACAAGAACAAACAAAAGAGTGTCAGTGTCTTCATCGAACAACGAAAAGAAAAAAGTAGAAAGAAAGAAACAAGCCAGCCAAATAAGTTTTTTGGAGTTACGTTTGTAGTCCCCGGAGGACGAAGAAGAAGACATCGCAATGCTGCGCTTTGGACGATCATCCCTTCGGCCCCGGCGCCGACGAAACCACCACATACAGATCCCTGAAACCACAAGCAATCCCACGCTCACACCGTAATCTTCCACCCGGGCGACGATTTCTTCCCTAGACAAGCACAAAGCATCGATCTTCCACCGATTTCCTCCACAGACCTAGATAATCGCGATCACAATGGATGCCCGCGGCAAGAACAGCGATCGCGCACACGCATTTCGCGCGTCCCCTGCCTACCCGGGCGCTGGCGCCATGCCCTTTCTCCAAGAATCCTTGCCCCGCCGCGGACGCCGCCTGCTCCTTCGCTAGAACCCTCGCGATTTCTACGGAGAAGCTTCTGTGGGGAAAAGAGAAGAGTTGCGTGTTCGTCGTCCATGAGAAGAGCACGAACACATTCTCATTGCCATCCCAGAAATTTACTCATTGTTAAAACATCCATAGTCTGTGAAGTTTCCACCACGTAATTTCACGGTCAAGCCGCGTTTGGCCAGCTGGCAATCACCTTTGACCGATTAAAAACCAAACAGAATGTGCGCAGCGCAAACAGAATATACCACAAATTTTAGGGCAACACCGACAGAATACGCTACAAAATAAACTAGAACACCACACAAAGGATATTCTTTCACACGCGACAGAATATGCCGCTTATTGTTTTTATTGTTTTTCTTCTTTTCCTCCTTACGCAGCTTGTTCCAGCACCAGGCGGCCAACCAGCTGCTTCAACTTGAGTGTTTCGATCGACTTGAGCTTGATGTCGCTCAAACTTTCCAGCTCCTGACGCTTGGGATCGATCGAGACTGCCAGAGGCCTTGGAACTGAAGACCACCAATCTGGCGATGGTGGCGATGGCGACGATCGCTCCTCCTCGGCCCGGAAAGTGTGATAGACCACAACATCTCCTCCACTTCCAAGTTCCTGGCGGCTACTTCCCACGCAAGAGTAGCCTCTGGGAACAAATCCCACACCCCAGGAGGAGCCACCATTTTTTTTCCCGGCTGCTCCACTGATCCCAGTCGCGTAAAGTGCCAGCGAGAAGAAGCCTGGTTTGAAGCACCGCAAGACTCTGTCCACCAGGACCTGGAGATCAATCTCCCTCGGTCCATATCCCATGGTCTCAAAGCTCGCGTAGCTGAAACCATCCTCCGGAGTGACGTGAATCGTCGAGTAAGCGCCGCCCTCGACGCTGTTCATGGAGTAGCCGCACGGATCGAAGGCGAAGTCGCAAATCCTGGCACCGGGGAGAAGACCATCAATCCCGGCAGCTCGAGTCATTCCCTCGGCCGAGCAATTCACGTCCTTGTAGAACTCGGTCGCCACCTTCCTGTCCAACTCCGTCATACACATCTCGAGCGTGAAACCTGGCTCGCTGCTGCTGCCACCACCGCTGCCAAACTCGTCTTCCACCGCGGGTGCTACGTAGACGTGCCACTTCTGTGCCGAGGAAGAACTCCCAAGAACGTAGCCTCTTCCTCCGCTAAAGAAGCCGTCCAAAAACTCCACCTCGTCCGTGAAGTTGCGGTGAGGATAATCCTGCTCTGCCGGGAAGAAGAAACTCCCTCGCCGATACTTGCAGCACCGGACCGAGAGATCCAAACCCGAGGCCAGCTCCAGCAGAACCGGGATGCTCCTCAGCAGCTTGGTGGTGCCGCAAGTCTTGATCACCACCTTGAGTGGATAGACGAAGAGGCTCGACTCCGAGAGCACGTAGGAATCAAACTCGTCGCTGCTAAGCTGGGCCACTATCGTGCACTCGGCCGCCTTGAGCATCCTGTCAAGGCCTTCCCTGGAAACCGACCTCAAACCCGATGCCTCGCTGCTTGGACCATACGAGAATTCGATTTCCAGCCTCTTCTCGAATCCCTCGAAGCCAGTAGTTGCCACTGCTCCAACAGTAGCTGCCACTTCTTCCTGCTGGAGCCCCGCCACCCAAGCTACTTCCAGTCCCATGATGCTTCCCCAAGACCGCTAGAAGGACGAAGAAAAAAAAAATCTGGCTGCCTAGATCTATCTTCCCAACGCTAGCTAAATCTTACTGAGAGAAGCTCCTGGAAGGAATGTCAGGATGGTTTCCTCACGCACTGGGAAAGAAAAAAACGAAAAAGTTAGAATTTTTCCTCGCGGAATCAGAAGAGATTGAGCTTACCACAGTGAATCCGGCACGCCGGAGCTTCTCGAAACCCCCGTTTGGCCGAACGTCCTCCACAACGTAGCCGAGAGGGATCTCGTATCGGAATTTGGAGTTTCTGTTACTACTACTACTGCTAGAATCGTCCTCGCCTCCCTTGGCGTCCATCACAACATGCCAAGATTTCTACAAAACACAAGACTAGCGCGAGTCAGAGAGATTGCCGCTGCTATGCCGCAGCGCCGCGCTTACCTGAAACGACGATCGCGAAGAAATCGAGCAAAAACGCTGCGCCGCCACAAAGAGGGGAAAAAAAGCGCACAATTCACAATAGGTAGGGCAAAACTAGCGAGAACGCGGGTCTTATAACAAAGTGAGGGCGACGCTTCGCATCGCAGCCGTTGGATCAAATCCACGCGGACCGTCAATATTTCCTTCTCCAGCACGTCAACACGCGAAGTGTGAGCGGCCACGTAGCTTCCAATTTCACCACGTGCTAGCAAACTGGAAGCGTGAAGTATCAAATCTTATTTCAGAAAATACAAAACATTAGCAATTCCCAACGAAACATTGCATCATCAAGCACATTTTATATCAAACGCTACAAATGTGGAAAGCATGTTTTATTTCATATGTGAAATAAAATATTAAGTCATAGAAACATATCAAATCAAAATCAATTGAAATCGATATATTTCATGTTAAATGTCAAGATTTGAGTAACTTCAAAATCAAATATTAATTAACAAGTCTTGCTCATTACTAAAGTTTTCCCTCCAATGTTAAGAAACTTGGAATTGGCTGCAAAGATGCAACCCTGGAGAATTCCTAGATTATATAATCATTTGGATCGCTGCACACCGTTTGAGTGCTGCAAAAGCATCCAAGCGTTGGATCTGGGGGAGATCCACATCTATACTTCGCACCGGGAGTTCCACAGCAAGCATCCAAAACCTTGACGAATCAAACGACCCAATAGTGCCATTGACCATTCCCAAATGATCCGAGTACCAATCCGGAACGAAGAATGATCAATCTGTATAGTTTGCTCGGAACTCGTCAACCAGATCCATTAGCTTTTGGTTGTAATAGATGCTCGGATTGTTGTAGCGCTTAGAACAACCAAGCTGATCATAATCCCCAGCAGTAGTGAATGGCAAGGATGTTGCTTGTGCCAGATTAATAGAAGCACAACCTTGCGCTGTCAAACCCCAAATCAAGAAATTCATGGCACCATACTTGATAAGCTTTTGGATCCCTTCCTTGATAACTCCTAAGATGTTGGGAACAAGAATTTGCTCAATTGCAGTCTGATTGGAGTAGTAGAAGAGATTATAATTGTTGAAGTCGTTGCCACCCAATATAAAGCACGAGAGAAAGCTTCTGGAGATGGCAAAAGACTGAGATCCACGGCTGAAGACTTATATTTCTACTGGACAAGCTTCTGGACACGCCTGTACTCGCCAATCCGGATCTCAAGGGCAAATGGATTCCTCCCCTGTGGAGGAACAACAAAAGATGCAGGAAAACTTGCAGTGCAGCCAGCATTTCCAAAGTTGATCCCTCGAGAGAAATTTGTACCATAGGTTGGAGCTAGAGAGTGACCAAAAGCCTGGGAGACCATATCTAGAATGTTGAGCCAATCTTCCAGTGGGTCCTTGAGGGAAGTTTTGACGATATGGAAGATTGTTAGCAACACAAAGAGATGGAGTGGCAGTGCAAAGATTTCCAGTATCTGAAAGTGAATCAGTGAATACAAAGATCTCTGGAGCACATACTGTGTTAGCTGCAAGAGAAGAAAATGGGAGCAACATTAAAATCAAAGACAAAATATAAGAAACACAACCCATTTTCTTGTGAGATTCTCTGAATGAGATGTGAAGGTTTCTAAGACTGTCTTATATACTAGGTGAAACCTTTCTCAGGTTAGCAACACATATAATAACTTTACTACAATCATGATAAGATTGTTATGATAGTCTATAGTCCTAGAAATACAAAATAATATCTCATCTTTCCAAGGTTATGAACCACCATAATCTTGGAAACATGTTGGCAAATACAAAGACTTCCATGAAAACCTTGATAGAAGTTCAATTTATTTACATAAATTAGACATTAGAATGTAAGGTGTGGCATTCTTGGAGTCCAACTTGAGCAAAAACTCAAACACAATACTTCCTACATCCAAATTCTTCCATTTGCAGCAAGCACTGAGAAGAATTGTCCAAGTCACAGTAGTAGCCTCGAATGGCATCGTTTTTGCCATTGCCAGGGCTTCTTCCAGTAGATTTGCACGTCCAAGAAGATCAACCATGCAGTGGAAGTGCTCTAGAGTTTGCTCCACTCCATACGTCGAGGATTTCATCGCTTGGAACAAGCTCCTGCCCGTGGCCACCATCCCCGTCCGGCCACACACGGAGAGGACGCACGAGAAAGTGATCCCATCGCCTCTCAAGCCTTCGTCGTGCATGGAGCCAAAGAGCTCCAAAACTCGAGCCGCGTCTCCCTGGTGGCTATAGCTCCCCAAGAGCGAGTTCCACAGACTCAAGTCCCTGCTGCTGCTGGCGAGAGCATCAAAGATCCTGTGAGAGCTGGCCGCCTTCCCACACTTCCCGTAGAACTCCACCAGAGATCTCTCAAGAATACTACTGCTGCTTTTACTGCTGCTGCGAGGATCATCCCTGTTGATCGCTGCGTGAATGGCTCTGCCGCAGTCGAGAGCCACCAAGCTTCCACAGGCCTTCAGTGCAGCGACGAACGAGCGAGCCACCGGAGCAAAGCCTGTTGAAGCTTCCATGAGGAAGAAAATGCTCAAGGCTAGCTCCGTCTCTCCATTCTCTGCGTAACTGGCCACCAGAGAAGTCCAGGACACCACGCTGTGGCAAGGCATCCGGTCGAAAACTCTCCTGGAATCGGCTGGGCTGCCACACTTTGCGTAGAAATCCAGCAACGCGTTGGTCACCATGAAGTCGGAGTCGCATCCCGTTTGAGCAGCCTGGCTGTGGAGTTCCATCCCGGCCTCTAGTGACTTGACTTTCACGAGCTTCCCATCGATCGTTTTCGTTCCTTCTTCTCTGGTCGCCAAAGCAGCTCTGGAACTTAGCACGGCCACGAAGGTTGCTGCGTTTGGCGAGCCGCCTTGAGCTTCCATGCGCTCAAACAGCTCCAAAGCCAGCTTGTTCTCGTCGTTCTCAAAGTATCCCAGTATCAGAGCGTTCCAGGCGACCACGTCGTGATCCACCATCATGTCGAAGACCTCTCGAGCTTCCAGAATCCTTCCGCAGTTCATGTATAAGTCGATCAGCGCAGTCGCCACGAAGATGTCCGAGAAGCAGCCGCGAGGCACTGCTTGAGCATGCATCGCAAACGCCGTCTCAAAGCACCTCAGCTTTACGGACTTTCCATCGGCGAGCTGTGTGGATTCTTCCCGGACAGCAGCACTGGAGCAAGCCGCTAGTGCAGCGACCAACACCCGAGAATCGCCGACGCAGCCTGTAAATCCTCCCATCCTCCCAAACAGCTCCAAAACTATCTCGTCTTCGCCAGCTTCCAAGTATCCCAGGATCAGTGACTTCCATGCGACTGCATTGTGATGTAGCATACCGTCGAAAACTCTGCGAGCATCTGCCAGGCTCCCACACTTCGAATACATATCCACCAATGCCCCCGCGAGAATGATATCGGACGCAAAGCCTTGCCTTTCGGCTTCCAAATGCAAAGCCGTGCATTTTTCCAAGCTCTTCGTCTTCACCACCCGGCCATAGATGAGTTCCCCAGCTTCTTTCGTAGCCAAAGCCGTATATGCCATCGTCAAGGCCAGAAGTGTTCTCGAGTTTGGCAGGCAGTTTTCTAGCCGCATCCGCTGATAAGCTTCCAGTGCCAAGTCTGCTTCTTCGTTCTCCACGTAGCCGAGAAGCAAAGCGTTCCACGACACGGTGTCATGTCTCGGCATCCTGTCGAAGCACTTCTGCGCCTCCGCTAGGCTCCCACACTTCGCGTACATATCGATTGCCGCAGTCAAGAGAAAGACGTCCTTTCCACAGCCACTCTCCTCAGCCATGGAGACGATCTCTCGCCCTCTGTTCAAGCTTCTGGTTTTAACATCCTTCCCGCTGAGATCTCCCAAAGTTGGCTGCTCTTGAGACGCCAGACTAGCACAGGCCATAATCCCGGTGACAAAAATCCTGGCATCTGGAACGGTACAACACTTCTTCATTAGTCGGCCAAAGAGTTCCAGAGCGACAACACTCTGGGAGTTTTCTACGTACCCCTGGATGAGCGAAGTCCACGACACTAAAGTTGGAGCCGGGATCCTGTCGAACACCTTTCGAGCGTCTGGCATGCTTCCACACTTGGCGTACATGTCCACCAGGCTGTTTGCCAGAAATATATCCCCGTCACAGCAGCTCTTCACCGCGTGCAAGTGTATAGCTCTCCCCGTTTCCAGAATCTTTTCTCCCTGGCTTGCTGCTAAGTTTCCACAGGCCATGGTGGCGGCGAGGAAAGTTTTAGCGTTCGCAACCAAGCTAGAACCTTGTCGGAAGGACGAGTAGATCTCCAAAGCAAGCTCGCTATGGCCATTCTCGACGTATCCCACGATCAGTGCGTTGAAGGAGCCAATGTCGTGATTTTCCATGGTATCAAAAACCTGTCGAGCGTCAACCATGCTTCCACACCTGGAGTACATATCGAGAAGTCCAGTCGCCATGAAGAAATTCTCCTGGCAATCTCTTCCTCTTTTCCAGGCCTGCGAGTGAAGATCCATTCCCTTCTCCAGTGACTTTAGCTTGACGAGCTTCCCCTCTAGTGATTTTCCAGCTTCTCTGGAAGCCAAACTCGAGCAAGCCATGAATGCCGCCAGGAACGTCCTGGCATTTCCCTCGCAGCCTTTCTCTCCCATTCCGGCAAACAATTCCAATGCGAGCTCGTTCTCGCCATTCTCGACATAGCCAAGGAGAAGAGCGTTCCAAGACACCACGTCGCGACTGGCCATGGCGTCGAAAACCTGGCGAGCATCTGCCATGCTTCCACATTTTGCGAAGCAATCCACCAGCGCTGTTGCCACGAAGACATTCGAGGCGCTGCCGCTGGCGATCGCCTCGCGTTGGAGTCTCTTTCCACCCGGAAGATCTTTTGCCCTGGCGCAAGATTTCAATCCGGCAAGCAGTCTCCCGATGTTACCGTCTCGCGATCCCTGTTCCAATGCCGATCTAGAACTCACCGATCGAAGCTGGACGAGGAGCCGCCGCTGGAATCGCCTCTGGGAGATCTGCCCTGGCGATACGACCATAAGAACCCTAATTTTTCGCGCTTAAATGAGAATTTTAAAAACTAGGAACTAGGGTTTACAGAGAGTGTTTCTTGGCTATGGCGCTCTTGTGGTTTCGAAAGGGGCTGAGGCTCCACGACAATCCATCGCTGGAAGCCGCGTGCCATGGCTCGCGAAATGTGTATCCAGTCTTTGTTTTGGATCCTTGGTTCTTGGCGCCGGATCCAAGTGCGCCATCGCCAGGGTCTGCTCGAGTTGGGATCAATCGCATCCAGTTCTTGCTCGAGAGCTTGCAGGATTTGGATCGAAATTTGAGCTCCCGGGGAAGTAAGCTCCTGCTCGTCCACGGCAATCCAATCCAAGTAATTCCAGAGCTTCTTGACAAGGTGGAGTCTTCTTTCTCTTTTGTTCTTGAAAGCAGCCTCTTATTATTTTTTTCCAGTGGAGAATCAGGAAGTTGTGCTTTGAATTTGACACGGAACCATATGCATTGGATCGAGATGCTAAGATCAAGGTAGAACTCCTGGCTCATCTCATCTTGCCTTTTTTTTTTTTTTCTTTTCTCGAGAGTTCTCACTGTTTCAAAGAACAGGAGCATGCTAAAGACAAAGGAATTGAGCTCCATTGTTCTGTGAGCCACACTATTTTCAATCCAGATCTTCTGATAGCGAAGGTGACGACTTCATTCCCTTCTTGTTTACTAATATTTTGCGGTTTTCTCTATCAGAATGGTGGCAAGGCACCTCTAACGTTCCAATCCTTCTGCAAAAACCTTGTTCCAGCCACAAAGCCAATTGGAAATGGTCCATCGTCGATTCCTCCAACTGGTGATCTTCATGGGATCAAAGTGGTGCCAGTTCCAACACTTGAGGAGCTCGGTTATACCGATTTTCACGAGGTTTGTGAATTGTTTCTTCGTGTTTTTTCCTCCTGATTTACTTCTTGCTAAATCGCTCTTTGTGTGTTTAAAAGGATTTTTCTCCGTTTCGTGGTGGCGAAACTGTAGGACTAACTCGGTTGGAGGATAGTCTTGCGAACGAGGTACTAACTTCTGGAACTTTGCTTCAATGTTTTCAAAAATTCTTTTTCTTTGCAAGTAGAAGTGGGTATGCGAATTCGAGAAGCCCAAAGGAGATCCAACTGCGTTTATAAAGCCTGCGACCACGGTTCTTTCTCCATACTTGAAGGTTCAGGCGCCGGTTCAAATATCTCTCTTTCTCACTCCACACAGTTTTTTGCGTAGTTTGGCTGTCTTTCCTCCCGGCTTTTCTACTCTCGCGTTAAGGAGGTCTATTCCAGGGCGAAGTCCTTTACGAGTCCTCCAGTTTCTTTGGAAGCTCAGGTAAGCAAAGTTTAGTGCATTATTATCAAGTAGATTCCGTGAGCCTCTTTCGCTCAGCTCTTGTGGCGGGAGTTCTTCTATACTGCTGCATATGCTACTGCGAATTTTGACAAGATGGTTGGGAACCCCACTTGCAAGCAAGTAAAATCCTTCATCTTCTCTTTTTTTAATTGCTCTAAGCTTTGGTTCGATCAATCCATAACTTTGGTCTAGATCCCTTGGAAGGACGACGATGAACTTTTGAGTGCTTGGAGAGATGGACGTACTGGTTATCCCTGGATAGACGCTGCCATGACACAGGTCTCTTTCTCCTCCATCTTCTTCTTTACTAAACACTTTTGTTTTTTCCTTTCTTTTCTGCTGATTTTAGTTACGAAAATGGGGATGGATGCACCATCTAGCTCGCCATGCAGTCGCTTGTTTCTTAACAAGGGGTGATATGGTAAGTGTTTTCTCTTTTGCCTTACTGGTCATTACAACATTCCTTCAAATTTGGACAGTTTGTATACTGGGAGAAAGGCCGAGATGTCTTCGATAGGCTTTTGATTGACGCCGATTGGTCTATCAACAATGGTAACTGGCTTTGGCTCTCAGCTTCTGCGTTTTTCAATCAGGTATTTAAAACCTTTTAATTCTTGCTTCCTCCTCCTCTTACTGTGCTCAATTCCAGTACCATCGAATTTACTCCCCAATCACGTTTGCAAAGAAATACGATCGTCAAGGGAACTATATCAAGCATTTTCTCCCCGTTATAAAAGGCAAGTGGAAATAATCTCCTGTCAAAACACTAAACCAAAGGACGACGTTTAGATATGCCGCAGGAGTTTATCTACGAGCCATGGAAAGCTCCAGTTGAGATTCAGAGGAAAGCAAAGTGCATCATCGGGAAAGACTATCCAACACCTGGTAAATCATTCTTATACTTTTGGCTAAGCTCCTTCGATTACACCGTGCCTTGTTGCATCCAGTGCTCGATCATGCTGTTGCCAGTAAAATCTGTCGGGAGAGAATGGGAGCGGCATATGCTCTAAGCAAATCGTCGCATGGGAATGTCTCGCAGGAACAAGTAGATGAATTGCAAGACACGCTCACCGATGTTCCAACTAGTAGCACCTCTAAGAACAAGAGACAAAAGCAATCAAGGATAACAGATTATTCAGCTTAATTTAATAAAAATCATAAAACATGCCCTTGGTACTGGAGCCAGGAATTTAATGACGGCAGTGTCACCTCTTTGATTGATTTTATCGCTAGAAAGAAAACATACTAAACGTATTTGTAAAGGAAAAGGTGGAAAGAATATTATCATCTAGGAAAAGGTGCCTTAGCAGTATATAATGAGGCTAGTTCAAGGGCTAACTAGACTTTCGAGAGAAGATCTATGGCGCTTGGGTGTGGTGTAGAGATGCTTGGTGATCAGCCGTGGAAGAATGAAGGAGTGAAGATGGACTTCACATGGGCAGCAAACGAATCGTGCAAAGAGAGAGCCTGGTATTTGCAAGAGGAAGAGCTCCTCTACAAGCTCTTTGGCGAAGTGGAGTCGCGAGTAGCTAATGATGATGAGGAAGGCTGGGAGCGCGTTTCTGGGAGTGGAAAGACGAGTTCCGTGGATGAGGAGTTCATGCGAGAGGAGGAGCAGCTTTCTTTGCTCTTTGAGGAAGTGGCCTGGAAGGCAAACCATGAGGTGGGCGATGAAGAAGAAAACTCGACGATTCTGAGAGAGGTGATGGAGCTGCTTGGTCTCACAAGCAAAAGGATTTCCAAACTGTAAATCTCGGGGTGTTAAAACCAAAGAAGTGCTTTCTAGAAGTAACTTCCTAGACACGACATTTAATCTTGCCGTAGAATTTCTAGAGTGATTTCCTAGAAACATAGTGAGCTCCTAGTGATCTGTTTGTAAGCCAGCAAATCCAACTTCAAAGGAAACTTTCAAGAGCAAATTCCTTCCTCTTGCCGATTTTGATTCCCCAGCCTAGTTTCTTGACAAAGGCTTTCCTAAACGACCTGGTAAAGAGATTAGGCACTTTGAGTCGAACAGAATGAATAAACTTGCGAAAGGAATTCCAGTGAAAACTCCACCCTGGCCTGTATAGAAAGAAAATAGAAAGAGACATCAAGTCAAAGAGAACGTACTGGATCATCTTGGTTTTCTACGAATGAGATCTAGCCCTAGCAAAATGAAGCAAGGCAGGGCTATAGCAAAGTCGCCAAGGCAATGTCTGAGCCTACGGCATATCACATTGGAGTGGAGCCTTTTTGTCAACATATGGTGGACTCAAGGATCCATTGATAGTTACTTGGGCGCAGAGAACAAATTTTATGGAGGTCTGATCTTTTGTATAACAAGGTTACTGCTGTGCAATCGTACGAAGTCCCTTTGCTCCTCAGGATCTACGCATATAAGACCGTATCACCTGGTGCTTTTGTTGACATGTTCCAATGCATCTCTGCACCGTCACAGCAGGATTAGGGCGTTTAGATGCCAAAGAGATGCTAAGGGCATGCGACTGCGAAGGCTTTGAATACAACGAGAAATATGTTTTGATAAGCAACTTTGCTTCATTTTAATTGTTTCTATCTTTGTGATTGTTTTCACATTCATTTTGAAGGTCCAGGATGAGGAGCCTGATGAGGAGGCCAGAAGCTCAGTTGTGCATTAAATAACATAATCTTAATGTAGTTTTGAACTGTTTCTCAAAGTGATTCCAAGATGAACTTGACGGACGGATACCAAGTTCTGAACACATAACCGAAACGCACTAGTAGATCCTAAGCTCAATAAGTGACATAAAGAGACCCTCAAGCCCTGTTTACCGTGGAGTGCAGGAAAGAAAAGGAAGATGGAGCGATTTACCAAGTGCTATTTCTTTGCTTTTGATTACTCTGCTCAATTGTTTCCTCTAGAATGTTGGTTCTGCCTGAGTTGAAATGCAGAGAAACATTGCTGCTGGACACTATGATAGAATGTATTGGCAGTCTTTTGTGGACACTTACGGCATCCTTGATGTGTATGCTGAAGTGTTCTGAACAATGACATCGACTATAACTCATACAAAGGTACTGAGCACTATATGTTCTATGTTTCGCCAACTCGCAGTACGTTTTTTGTCTGTTTAGAATTGTGCAAAGAGCAAGGCGTGCCTCCTTTGGACGAATCAGTGTTGAATGTACATACGCAAGGTGGCTTCCTTCAGCTGCAGAAATGGCTGGCCTTGAAACACAAACAGTACCGATGACAAATACTTGGTTGGAGATTTCTTTACGTAGAGGATGAAGTACATGGATTGTCATTGTCTAGTGCGCTGATTGAATGTTTCATTGGTATGCTCTTCTTGCTGCTAATGGGATGATTGGTCCTGATTTACGTTGCCTCATAGAGGCGATGCTGCAGATCGTCGTGGCTGACAAAGTGCTGTCTTGGTCCCCCGAGTGATGCTAGAAAGGTGCTCTCAAAAAGGGAGGAATTTATAAACTTCGCATCCACTGGCTGATCCACTGCAATATATAAGGTGCAAATGGCTTCTTTTTCCTTGTTTCAAGAACTAAATCAATTAACCATAGAAGTGAAGAAAGCCAGCATTTCATTGCTAAGCACAAGGGAATGTCTCTCTAACACTTTTAGTTGGCATGCTCAAGGTTCATTCCAAAAACATTATGACGTCCAACAATCAGCACAACCTCATTCATGAAAAAGAAACCCCATGACTCAATTCATTGTCTTAGGTGCTATGTGATGAGAGTGGTGGCTTAATGCTTTGCCCCTCAGGCGTGGATACAAGAAGATAACGAAATAATAGCAGATCTTTCTATGCTAGAAGATGAAAGAAAGTGTTTTCATGAAGCACATTTTAACGAGGCAAAGCTTTTTACCATTCAATTTCTCCAGTTTCGTGACTTCTGTGGATCTTTGAATCCTATATTGCAGTGCTTGCATGGCAGCTTCCCGGTCCTGATACTTGTAGCAAGCTTGGAAATTGTCCTCCTGAGTTCATTGGGAATAAATCATCTTCGGCTTTGCAGATTTTAACGCGGACAAAATTCCTCGATTGTTAAAGAATATCTTAAAATAAACTTGAATCTTCTCGAATATTCTAAATATATTCTTTACTTATGTGACTCAAATAATTTCTTGAAAGAAAAAAAAAATGCGAGAGAGCAAAAGTAAAAAATTTATAGGCACTTACCGTCTGGAGCATGCACCTCTCCTTCCGGATAACAACGTCGCTCCTCGCTATAAAAGAAAGCCACCTCCCAAACAACCAGGAGCAAAGAGTTCCAGGAAAGCATTTCCTCCTCCTCTAGATCATGGAGTCGTCTTCTGGATTCGATTGGTGGATCCTCACTCTGCCTTTCTTCCCCCGGCATTTACTCACCGATCATGCATGGCGATTCGCCGCTGCTGCTGTGGCCGTGCTCGTTCTAGCTGCTGTCTCGGCGATCCTGGCTGCTTGGCTTGTTCCCGGTGGCAATGCATGGGGGAGAACGCTGAGGAAGAAGCAGACCATCCCGGGGCCGCGAGGATGGCCAGTGCTTGGAGTCTTGACGGAGATGGGAGGCCAAGCCCACCGAAAGCTGGCCAAGCTCGCCGAGAGGTACCACGCCAAAGAGCTAATGGCCTTCGGCCTGGGGAACACGAGGATGATCATCACCAGCAAGCCGGAAGTGGCACGAGAGCTGCTCAACAGCTCCGAGTTCGCGGACAGGCCTCTCAAGCAGTCGGCACAGCAGCTCCTGTTTGGACGAGCAATCGGCTTCGCTCCCTATGGAGATTACTGGCGTAACTTGCGGAGGATTGCATCCAACTATCTGTTTTCTCCACGCCAGATTGCTGCTCACGAACCATCTCGTCAGGCAGAGACAAGCAGGATGATCGAAGCAATGAGTACCTTTGCAGCCAACAACCACGGGCTTGTCCGAGTCCGGGACTTTCTCCAGCGAGCTTCGCTTAACAACATCATGCAGACGGTGTTCGGCAGGAGCTTCGAGGATGGCTCTGAGGACGCTGCTCGGCTTTCTGAGATGGTGAGGGAAGGTTTTGAGCTGCTCGGTGCATTCAACTGGGCCGATCACTTGCCAGCTCTCAAAGCAGTCGATCCCCAGAACATCCTCCAGCGCTGTGACGTTCTGGTTCCCCAAGTGACGAGGTTTGTCCAGAAGATCATCGACGAGCACCGCCAGTTGGTCGATAAGAAAGTTGGCGAAGCCGACTTTGTGGATGTGCTGCTCTCCTTGGATGGCGAGGAGAAGCTTGAAGACGCGGACATGATCGCAGTTCTCTGGGTAAGAAGCTTCAAGTCTGCCTCTGTTTTCTTTTATGACTTACGTGGTGTTTTGCAGGAGATGATTTTCCGAGGCACTGACACGGTTGCACTCCTCACTGAATGGATTCTTGCAGAGCTCGTCCTCCATCCTGAAATCCAGAGCAAGTTGCGACATGAGATCACGAGCGTCGTTGGAAAATCCAAAGTTGCCGAGTCTGACCTCCAGAAGATGGTGTACCTCCAGGCCGTTGTAAAGGAGACTCTTCGGATGCATCCTCCGGGTCCCTTGCTATCTTGGGCTCGGTTGGCGATTCACGACGTAAGCTTGAGTGGCCACCACGTCCCTGCAGGTACCACGGCCATGGTAAACATGTGGTCCATCACTCACGATCCTTCCATCTGGTCCGAGCCTGAGAAATTCAACCCGGAGAGATTTTTGGAGCAGGACGTTGATGTGAAAGGAACCGACTTACGTCTCGCTCCATTCGGAGCTGGTCGACGAGTGTGTCCCGGACGAGCTCTCGGCCTCGCTACTGTTCTTCTCTGGACGGCTCGGTTGGTTCACAAGTTTGAGTTCCAGGTCGACCCAGCCCATCCCGTTGATCTCACCGAAGTTCTCAAGCTTTCGAGTGAGATGGTAAAGCCTCTGGTGGTAACAGTGTTATAGTCTGTGCCTGTAGTTAAGGTCTGTGCCTGTACTTCGACAAATCGAAGCTGGTCAGCTCATAGATAATAAGTCGTTTACCTTATGCCGATACGTGCACCAGTATCTCGAATGTTATGGTGGCGTCCCATTGCCTCTCGAACATTTGTCTCAATCGCGGATCTCGTTCGTGAGTACATGGGAAAGATAATAAGACCACATGATATGCTGCTTCGGAGATAGACGAGAAGTTCCGAGCTGTTGAGCCACCAGCACGTCGTGTGTGATGTAATGGCACACGCACCATAAAGGAAACACAACCTGATTTGTTCCGAGCGGCGTGGGTGGGGACTTTTCCATCACTGCTTCCCGAGGGTTTATGACTTCACAAGCTTTGTCTCGGCTCTTTCCACTTCAACGTTTCTCAAGCTCAAAATCTTCGCTTGCTCCTCCCACATTCCTGTGCTGCCGTAGATGGCCCCCATAAGCACGTAAGCGGCGCCATTACTTCCATCCAGCTCTAGCAGTCTCTCGAAGGCCAGCCTTCCAAGTTCCACATTCTTCCACTTGCGGCAACCAGCTAGAACCGTCCTCCATGTCAAGGCATCTGGTTTAAAAGGCATGGACTTCACCAACGCCAAGGCTTCCTCGAGCTCGTTGCCCCTCCCAAGGATATCAACCATGCAGTGGTAGTGATCCAAGCCAGGCCTCACGTTGTATCCCGGGAGCATCGAATGGAAGCACCGTCGGCCTTTGTCGAGAAGACCAACGTGACTGCACGCTGACAGGAGAGCCAGGAAGGTGATATCGTCGGCTTGGACACCTTCGTCTTGCATCCGGTGAAACAACTCGAACGCTTGCGTGATGTCACCTTGTCGGCTGTATGCTACTATCAAAGAGTTCCAAGTCGTCAAGTCTGCTCCAGAAGTGAGCGAGTCGAAGAGCTGGCGAGCTGCGAGAACGCAGCCACATTTGCCGTAGAAGTCCACAAGACACGATGGCACAATCGCATCCTTCTCCATCCCAAATCTGTAAACATCTCCCTGTATCCTTTTCCCAGCACCGAGTGCCGCTACACTACCACTGGCGACGAGAGCTGCGAGAAAAGAACGGCCATCCGGTGGAACACCTGTAGCTCTCATGAGTGAGAAACTTTCCAATGCCTGTTCCCCTTCACCGTTCTCAGCATACCCGATCGTCAATGCCGTCCATGAGACAACGTTGTGACACGGCATCTTCTCAAAGACACTTTGAGCTTTCACCATGCTTCCACACTTTGAAAAAAGATCGATCAAAGTGTTGGCGAGAAAAACGTCGGAACTTCTGCTTCTCACGGCCAAAGAATGGATTCCGGCCCCCAGCTCGCAGCACCTGACCTTCACAACTTCGCTGTTGATCTTCTCCTCGACTGCCAAAGCTATGCAGGCCATTCCTCCAGCCATGAAAGTTCTTGCATTTGGTTCACAGCCTCGACCTTCCATACACCCCAGCAGATCCAAAGTCAAGCCAGCCTCTCCATTTTCTGTGTATCCCAGCATCAAAGCAGTCCACGAAACCACTGTGTGATCCGACATCCTATCGAAGACACGTCGCGCATCAGCCATGCTCCCACTCTTCGCGTACATATCGATCAAGGCATTGGAAACGAACTGGTTGGCAAAGTCACAGCCTTGTCTTCTCGCTTGAGCGTGCAAATCCATCCCTTTCTCTAGCCATCTAGTTCTCCCCTTGGCACCATCTTCTCTGGAGGCTAGCTCGCTGCAAGCCGTGATCGCGGCCACGAAAGTCCTGGAATTTGGAACACCACAGCACTGTAAGCTCGAGAACAGCTCCAGAGCTACTTCACTCTCACCATTATCCACGTATCCCGCGATGAGAGCGTTCCACACAGCTACATCCTTGTGAAGCATCCCATCGAAGATCTGGCGAGCCTCACGCATTGAGCTGCTGCATTTACCATACATGACGATCAGCGCGGTAGAAACGAACTTGTTTGAATCTATTCCAGCCTCCCTTGCGGCAAGATGGAGCTGCTTACCTCGCTCGAGATCGCCAGAGCTGCCGCAGGCCTTCAAACCGGCTATGCAGTCCTTGATTGTGATCGATCCCTCGAAATCTAGGCGCTGGAACACGAAGAATCTCAAAATCTTTGAAGAACAAGCAAAGAAAATCACTCACATTTCCCTGCACTACCGTGCCGTGGATGGCCTCGCACAAGAATCGCCGTGTCTGCGATGGAAGAACAATCCAGGATCTTGAAAACATCCCCAGAACCTCCTGGAAATCCAGACGCCGTGTGATCGCGAGGGATTCCAAGGAGCTGGAGCTCTTCCTCCATAAACCCTAAATTTTGAGCTAGGGCGGGAGCAATGGTAGAGCTAGGGCATGGAAGCAATGCCGCTAGAGGGATGGATCGATCACCAATGAGGGCAAACCGATGCTATCGCAGCTCCAGCAAGCAAGAACAGGTGCGTTGTCCATCGATCGATCGACTCACAGCTCTCGCATTGTGTTCTAGGCTATCATCTCCTCTCTCACATCTCCATCCATCGCGCTCTCGGCAGCTCCGGCAGCCTAGATTCATGGCTCAAGCGGCGATTAAAATGGCTAGACGAAGATCCACAGCAGCGGCAAGGCGATACCAGGATCTACGCCGATCTCCTCGACGTTGTCGCGGATTCCAGGTCTCTAGATCTCGGCAAGGAGGTCCACGCACGGATTTGCAAGAGCGCCATGGACAGGGGGCCGTTCATGGGCGACTTGCTAGTGAGGATGTATGTGGATTGCGGCAGCTTGATCGATGCCAAGGCGTGCTTCGATCGAATGCCCGTCCAGGACGCGCTCACCTGGGCGAGATTGATTCGCGCTCACGGACAGATCGGTGATAGCGAGCAAGCGCTCCATCTCTTCCGATCGATGCAGCTGGAAGGGGTGGCTCCGGTTAACAGGAACTTTGTGGCTGTTCTTGGCGCTTGCTCGGCTGATCCAGAGCTTCTCGAGGAAGGAAGAAGGATTCACGGGGTCTTGCGAGGAACAGCGATGGAGAGCGATCACTACGTGAGCACTACGTTGCTCCACATGTATGGGAAGTGTAGCAGCGTGGAGGATGCCAGGAAAGTTTTCGATGGGATTCGCCACAAGAGGGTGGTAGAGTGGAATGCGATGATCACTGCCTACGCGCAGCAAGATCATCACGAGCAGGCAATCCAGGTGTTCTACGCGATGCTGCTGGAAGGGGTCAAGGCCGAGAGAATCACCTTCATTGGAGTGCTTGATGCTTGCTCCAAGCTCAAGGATCTCGAGGTGGCAAAGCTCGTCAAGCTTTGCGTCGAGGAGAGAGAACATGATCATCTACACGACTCTAGTTTCGCCACTGCTCTCGTCAACTTTTATGGAAGCTGTGGAGATCTAGAGCAAGCTTTCCGAGCTTTCTCGAGGCACCGGCTAGAGCTGATACTGGCGACTGCGATGATCACGCAGTATACCCAGCGCGAGCGCTGGGACGAGGCTCTCGAGCTCTTCAAGGTGATGCTGCTCGAGGGCGTGAAGCTGGACAGGATCGCGTGTATGGCGGTGCTCAACGCTTGCTCCGGGCCGAGAGGATTGGAAGAGGGGAGGATAATTCACGGCTTCATGCGAGAGATCCGGTTTGACAGGCACGTCAACGCAGGAAACGCTCTCATCAACATGTATGGAAAGTGTGGAAGCCTGGAAGAAGCTGTGGAGGTTTTCCGCTCCATGCAGCATAGGGACGTGATCTCGTGGAACACCATCATCGCAGCTCACGGCCAGCACTCGCAGCATCCGGAGGCTCTCCACCTGCTCCATCTGATGCAGCTCGACGGCGTAAAGGCGGACAAGATCAGCTTCGTCAATGCTCTCCCGTTGTGTGCTACCTCGGAGGCTCTAGCAAAAGGGAGGATGATCCACTCGTGGATCGTCGAGAGCGGTATCAAAGCCGACGTGATGCTGGACAACGCCATCCTCGACATGTACGGGAGCTGCAAGAGCACCGACGACGCGTCCCGGGTGTTCCGAGCCATGAAAGTTCGAGACCAGGTGTCCTGGAACGCGATGATCACAGCTTACGCCGCTCAGCCTCGGCTCTCCTCCGAGGCACTGCTGCTCTTTCAGCAAATGCAGCTCCACGGGTTCATGCCGGATGTAATCTCCTTCGTCGCTGCTCTCTCGGCTTGCGCAGCACAGGCCTCACTCGCCGAAGGAAAGCTACTCCACGATCGCATACGAGAAACCGGGCTGGAGAGCAACATGACAGTGGCCAACGCGGTTCTAAACATGTACGCAAAGTCGGGGACTCTGGTACTCGCGAGAAAGATGTTCGGGAAAATGCCACTGCCGGACGTGATCTCCTGGAACGGGATGATATCGGCCTTCGCTCAGCACGGCCACGCGGACCAAGTTCTTCGATTCTTTCGGCGGATGAACCACGAAGGCAAGCTTCCCAACGACGTGACTTTCGTCAGTGTCGTCTCGGCTTGCAGCCACGGTGGCCTCGTCAAAGACGGCGTCCAGCTCTTCGTGTCTCTCCTCCACGACTTCCCGACGATCTCCCCGCGAGCCGAGCACTACTACTGCATGGTGGACCTCATAGCCAGAGCCGGGAAGCTCGATGCTGCCGAGAAGTTTATAGCCGCGGCGCCTCTCAAGCCCGACCGGGTGATCCACTCCACGATGCTCGGAGCCTCCAAAGTTCACAAGGACGTGGAGCGAGCGAGAAAGTCCGCCGAGCACTTGATGGAGCTCACGCCGGATCGCTCCGCCGCGTACGTGGTGCTGTCGAATCTCTACGACGAAGTCGGGAAGAAGGACGAGGGGGCCAAGATCCGGAGGCTCATGTACGAGAAGAACATCAGGAAGGAGCCGGCTTTCAGCTCCATCGCGGTGAAGCGAAGAGTCCACGAGTTCTTCACGGGAGACACGACGAATGCTCGAACTCCGGAGATCTTGGAGGAGCTGGAGAGGCTGAGCTTGGAGATGGCCAAGGCGGGATACACTCCAGACACCACTCTCATGCTTCACGACGTCGGGGACGAGCAAAAGAAGCGCTTGCTCTCGTATCACAGCGAGAAGCTGGCGATTGCGTTTGGGTTGATCAGCACGGCCCCGGGAACTTCGCTGAGGATCATCAAGAACCTGCGCGTGTGTGGGGACTGTCACACTGCCACCAAGTTTATCTCCAAGATCACGGGAAGAGAGATTGTGGTGAGAGACAGCCATCGCTTCCATCACTTTGACAATGGGACGTGCTCTTGTGGAGACTATTGGTAATTCGGTTAAATTTTATTTAATTTATTTTTAAAATAAGGAACAAAGCAAAAAGGTGGTTATTAACACAAAGGGTAGTTTAGTTTTCTATAAATCCATGAAGGTAAAGGTTTCTATCAGAAGGAAAAACGATGGGTTCTCACTCGAGTTCTTCAATCAATCATCCATCACCAAATTCCTTAAAGCCGACTTGGTGTAACAAAAAGAAGCGTTCTCCACGTCCCCGTTCTTCAAAGAGTTTAACTTGGTCGACCAAGAGGAAGTGTTCTCCACCCAAGAGGATCGCCCTGTATCCTCCAACGTTGTGCTCTCTTATGGATCTGGAAGGATCCCAGATGGATCACGCAAGTTTCTTTGAACTTGGAGAACCCAGAAAGGTGGACAACGAATTCGTGATGAATCAAGAACTACTTGAAGAGTTAAGATTGGACAAGGTCGACTTGGAGGAACTTCTCAAAGATCTATGAAAATTCACACACTTCCTTGGATTATAGTAATAAAATAAATTTCTTTGTTCCAAGACATCCCATCTCTCATTTTTGCAAGAGATTTGAACAAATAAACATTTTAACGATTTAATTTGATTAAAACATCCCTGGATATCCTTTAGGGTCACAGTCAGTTGAAAGTAACTGTCGTCCGGGCAAAATGATTGGCAAATTCCTGCCACTGCTGCTGCTGCTTTTGATCGATTGCTTTAGTGCGTCAGCTGTGAGTTCACAGAAGGATCAAGTGGTTCATCACGGCCACCATGATCTACAGCACCATCGAAAGCACTCAAAACATCCCAAGCATCCACACTCGATCATCAACAACACGAGCCGGGATTTCCAAGAGCTCTGGAGAGCCTATCAAATTTTCCTGAACCGGCTCTCGAGATCACTCGCAAAAGATGACAACGATGGACTTCCCTGGTGGTATAACATCATCCCACACTTTCCATGGCCCTCCTTTCCATTTCCGTGGCCTCCAATGCTACCACCACCGCCACCGCCACTGCCGCCTTTGTGCCCGCCACCACCGCTGCCAGTAAACTTCACCTCCAGCGATGTCGATCGAATCAACCTTGCTCTCAACATTCACTATCTCCAAGCCGAGTTCTTCCTCCATGCAGCGTTTGGACACGGGCTTGACAAAGTTAATGCAAAGCTTGCGAAGAAGGGGCCACCGCCTGTTGGAGGCCGCAAAGCTCAACTCTCTACACGAATGGAGCATGTTGCCAAAGAACTTGGGCTCCAATCTACAGGTCATATCAGGTAATTAACATTTCTTTCTCTCAAGTCTTTTTTTTCTAAAGCTGTTTCCCACACAGGGCAATCCACGATAAGCTGGACAAACAATCGATTTGCCGGCCATTGCTAAACATCAGTGTTGGAGTGTGGGATTCCCTCATCAGCAAGGCTCTCATCCACAATCACACCGAAGTTGATGGTGGTGGTTCTTTGCACTTTGATCCGTACGAAAACGACGCAAACTTTCTCATTGCTGCATATGTGATACCGTACATTGGCCTCAACACGCTCGTAGATTCTAGCAATCGAGTCACTGGCATTCAAGCACGAAAGGTAACAAAGAACTAAAAGTCTTAATGAAGATTTTCAAGAGATTTTTTGTTTCTTCAAAACAGTTGGTGTCCGGATTGATGGGAGTCCAAGCCGGCCAGGACGCAGTGATCCGGACATTGCTCTTCGAGATCATGGAAAACAAGCTGCCTCCGTACAACGTCACAGTCGCAAAGTTGACAAACCTCGTCTCGGATCTCCGGCACAAGCTTGATCACACAAGAAAGGCCGACGAGGGCTTGAGTGTGCATCAAAACCGTGGAGCCGAGAAGCAAGTAAACGGGAATTTGATCTCCGCGAATGACTACTCCATGGCCATCTCGAGATCGCCCCAGCAAATTCTCCAAGTTTTGTACGGAACAGGGGACGCTTCGGTACCGGGATTGTTCTTCCCCAAGGGGGCTAACGGGAAGATCGCTGGCATCTTTCTCAAACCCAGGCGGCCCAAACTTTAGTGTGAAGGACCTTTTGCCTTTCCAGAAGTTCTAGCAAATGAGATTCCAAACTTAGGATCAGCCGAGGAAACCTTCTTGTAGAAACAAACGGTGTCTCCTTCCTTGAGCGAGTGCTCCCTCACGTAATGAATCCAGTGTGTTGTGATCAGGCTCCCAGTTTTCCCTTTCTTGCACCGGAGCTCCCAAACTCCGCCCTCTTCGTCCACAAATTCCACGAGAACCTTTTCATTCGGGAGCATCGACTCGTACTTGACCGGGATGAGCAATCTGTGCAGGCTATTCACGTCGCTGGCGGTCAGCTTCTTGCCAAATAATAAAGCCCAACGAGATGGATCGCAGGTGACGAGAGGATCCTCGCGTTTCCGGGGTCTCCACTTGTGACACTTCGATTTCTTGGTGTCTCCCGCTGCCTGAATCGCGCCATCTTCAACAGAGGAGGAGGAATCTTTCACCTCATCAGTCCTTGAACAGAAATCTCGATCGCCCATCTTAAGTATCTTTACCTTTTGTCCCAGTCCTTGACTTTCGTCCATGACCACCACCTTTCTTCTTTTCTTCTCTTGTAGCTGCCCAGCTTCCTGGTTAATCACTTGTCTTTTGCCGTTGGAATCGGGCTCGCTGGTGCTCATATCCCCCGTGAACCAAAGTAGAGCCCTCCAGAGCATGGATTTCCGTGGAGACCGCTTCCTTCTCAGGATAAATGTCTTCGGGAAACTTGGCTGCAAGGCTGCAGCGTCCGCAAGAACCAACAGTCCGGAAAAATCTTTGCTTGCCATCTCACAACTAGTGAAAAAAACCCTTTGCTTTAATCCAAACCTATATTGCCTTTAAAATAGAAGTTAAGCAAAAGGGGGTTAAAAATCTTGGCGACGCCTACGTGGCAAAAGGTTTTGATTTGAAATCCCTAACAATCTCCCGGGTTTTTGCCGCTCTTCAAATTTGGTTCGCGGTTCGTCGATTGATCGTTCGATCGGAGGAAAGATTGTTTGCCAGTGAACTACTAGTGATCGCGATGAGGAGCGCAATGGGCCTTTTGGGCCAATTGATGAGATGCCGGTCCTCCCCAGCGACCAGCGCGAATGCTGTGATGATCTTGGCATCATCGGCGCCACCGCCGTTCCAATTGAGCAGCTTCAATCCTCTCAGCACTGCCGCCGCTGCCGCCACCGCCGCCTCTAGCCCGGGAGTGGCATCGATTTGTAGAGATTTCAGGAAGCTCTTGCTCAATCGCCCATATGTAAACGAGTCTCTCTCCTTTCTCTTCGATCTTTCGCATTTAGATGAGCAACATGGATTTAAGTTTCTCGAATGGGCGATGTCCAATCGATTTAACTGTCTTGGATTTCGATGGTGGTGATGCACAAACAGGGGAAGAAGAGGGCTGATCCCGAGGATGAGAAGATGCTGAGCGAGGGTGGCGGGAGCAAAAACAACTATGGGAAAGAATGCAGCCGCGTCAAAAGCACGAAGCCAAAGTCTACGATCGAGAAAGTTTTCCCGGGCAAGAGAAATACCCAACTCGACATGAAGAATCAAGTGAAGAACACCGCCAAGAAGGTGAAGAAAGTCGTGGAAAAGGTGGCGGACACTGCCAAAGAAGGGCTCGAAACCGCAAAGAAGAAGGCCGGAGACGCTGCGAAGAAAGTGAAGAAAGGTGGCGGCGGTGGAGGTGGAAAGAAAGGTGGCGGCGGTGGCGGAAAGAAGAAAGGTGGTGGCGGCGATGGTGGCGGGAAGAAGAAGGGTGGCGGCGGTGGTGGGGGCGGCGAGAAGAAGAAAGGTGGCGGTGGTGGTGGCGGCGGCGGCGGGAAGAAGAAGGGCGGCGGAGGAGGAAAGAAGAAGAAGTGAAGAGGAGAGTTTTGGCTAAGTTTTTCGTGCGAATGAATATATTTTGTGCCTTCTTTTAGGGTTCTTCGAGGGTTTTAGCGCAGTTCGTGGCACATTTAGGTTTCTTTGGAATGAATGAGGCGCATTGCGCGACAATGCGCCATCGCTAGAACAGCTTCGAGCATTCCTGGCGCCTCCAGGATCGAAGAGGTAGCTACATTTTGATTTTTGTCAAGATTTTTGCAATGGATTCTTCGTTCTTGTTCTTCCAGCCGAGCGCGTTTTTTAGGCCGGGATATTCTCCATCAGAGGTATGTTGAGACACGATTTTTAAAGGACAAGGCGAAACGAGAAAGAAATCCTTGCAGCACTCGAGCGAATTTCTGGATGAGAGCTTGGCTTCCACGAGGACAAAGACGAAGGTAAGATAAGCTTGTAGGCTCTGAATTCTCACCTCTTTCTTGTGAATCACAGAGCTCAACTAAATCCACAGCAAGAAAAAAGCTCGACTCGAGAGAGGTGAGTCGAGTTTCACCACTTTTACCTATATCCTTTTCAAAGAAAAACTGTGCTTCGTGTTCCAGCATTCGAATGGACTTTCAGCAAAGATGGGCTCACAAAAACACGAGAGAAAATGCGTGTTCATGGCCGGATTGAAGTCATGCTCCGCCTCCAAGGACGTCGAGAAAGGACGAAAAATCCACCGCGATGCCATCGACGCCGGCCACGAATCCGACTTGTTTGTTGCCACAGCACTGGTGGACATGTACGCGAACTGTGGCAGCATGGTAGAAGCTCGCAAAGTTTTCGACAATATGCTCCACCGCGACGTGGTTTCATGGAACGCGCTCATCCTCGGCTACGTCGAGAATGGAAACAGCGAAGAGGCTCTGCGGCTGTTCGACGCCATGCAAGCTTCCAAGCGATGCTCACCGAGCTCCAGGACTTTCGTTGCGGTGCTCATGGCCTACACACACCAGGCGACCAGAAACCAGGCTCGCCAGCTCGAGTTTCTAGAGAGCGGCATGGCTCTTTACTCCCGCGCTGGCTCTCACGCAAACAACTTCGTCGCCGCGGCTCTGGTGGCTCTCTGTGCAAAGTGTGGGGGCATGCAACAAGCCCGGAAAGTTTTCGACACCGTAGCTCGCCCCGACGTGAGCTTGTGGAACGTTTACATTCTCGGCTATGTGGAGAACGGGGAGAACGACGAAGCTCTGAGGCTTTTCTATAGGATGCAGCCGGGACCGAACGCTAGAACTGTCATGGCAGCTCTCCTGGCTTGCGGGAACTTAGCAGCACAGGAAGAAGGAATCAGGATCGACGGGATGAACTTAAAGGTGGAAGCGTTGCGGCAGGGTGTGGCTGTTCACTCGGTAGCTCGGAGGCACGGTTGTGACTCGCACAACTTCGTTGGGAACTGCTTGATCGACATGTACTCGAGGTGTGGCAGCGTGGTGGAAGCTCGCAGAGTGTTCGACAGCATGTCGAGCAAGACAGTCATCACTTGGACGGCGATGATGGTCGGATACGAGCTAAACTCCGAGGCGGAGCTGGCTTTGGAGCTGTTTTCACTGATGAGAAGCGGTCCGGAAGCTTGTGAGCCGGACGAGCGAGCGGTGGTGGCAGCTCTCACGGCTTGCGCGAGCTTGGCTGGCAAAGAAATCGGGCAGCTCATCGATGGAAAGAAGCTTGTCAAGGTGGAGAGCTTGGAAAAGGGGATGGCTATTCACTCGCGGTCGCGAAACATGGATATCTTCATCGCCACCTCTCTCGTTGACATGTACGCAAAGTGTGGGAGCCTAGAGGACGCTCGCAGAGTTTTTTACGCCATGGCTCACCACGACGTGGCGTCATGGAACGTTCTTATCACCGGCCATGCGGAAGGTGGTGAAAGCGAGAGAGCTCTCGAGTTTTACGATCGGATGCAAGCTCAAGGCATATGTGCTCCAAACGCGACGACTTTGGTAGCGGCTCTCACTGCCTGCATCGACATCGCAGCGAAAGAAGAAGGGAACACCGACGAGTCAGGGAAAGGCGTGAGATCCAGCTGCTTGGAGAGAGGAACAGCTTTGCATCGCCAGGGAAAGCAACTGGATTGCGAGTCGGACATCTCCGTAGCAAACGCTCTACTCGAGATGTACGCGAGGTGTGGTAGGCTGGAGGAGCTGTGGGTGGTTTTTAACTCCATGCCATGCCGGAACGTCTCGGCCTGGACGGCTCTTATACTGGGCCACGTAGAAAACGGCGAGGCCAAGGCAGCACTGGAACTCTTCGAGCGAATGCAGGTGGAAGATCAGTGCTCTCCAAAAGTTTGGACGTTTTCCTGCGCTTTCAGGGCCTGCCTGATGCTGCTCGACTTGCGAGCCGGGAAAGTTCTCCACGCTGCTGCATGCCGGAGGGGGCTCGAGGATTCTCTGACGCTAGAGACGCTGCTCATGGATTTCTACGGGAAGTGTGGCAAGGCCTCTCAAGCTCAGCACGTCTTCGACTCGCGACTCACAAGGGACTCGCTAAGTTGGAACTCGCTGATATCGGGCTACAGCCTTCAAGGCGACTCCGAGCGTGTTTTCGAGCTCTTCCATGAGATGCTACTGGATCACGAGAGTGTCGCAGTGACGGCCGCCACCTTCGTCTCGGTTCTCACCACCTGCAGCCATGCCGGACTCGTCGACGATGGCAAGAAGTTTTTCCACTCGATGCGGTCCAGGCACGGGATGGAACCGGGGCTCGAGCACTACAATTGCATGGTCGACATGCTCGGCCGGGCAAACAGGTTTGACGAAGCAGTCGAGATGGTGAAGACAATGCCGCACGAAGCAACGGCACTGACTTGGAGGACTCTTTTATCGGCGTGTCAGACTTGGAAGAATGTCGAGGTGGGAAAGCTTGCGTTTGAGGCTCTGGTGAAGCTGGACGAGAGCGATTCGGCGGGATATGTTTTGATGTCAAACATCTACTCGAGCCAAAGCAGCAGCTGAGTGAGTAAGTTTTCTGTTTTTGATCTTCTTTCTACTCAGTGGAGTGACTTCTTTTTTCTTTATCTTTTGCAGCGAAGATTCTACTTTTGGGAAAGAGGAAAAAGTGAACAGCGAGGACGAAATTTGGACAAAGCTCTTGATTTTCCAAAGTTTTGTGCCGCTGCAGTTTTATCCGAGCCATCCATTCCTCTTTCGTGAACAATTCTTTGACTTTGGGGAGGCGAAATTCGGTAAGCTTTCGTATTCGTCTTGATTTGTTTTGTCTTTGACAGTCGCTCTGTGCGAAAGTTGTTGATAGAACTCAATGGAGTGTGAACTGGAGGTTTTGAAAGAAAAGGTGTCACGAGGTGGGGATCGATCCAATTTAACCGCAACAACCTCTCGTGATCGCTTTGATTCCAGCAGAAGACTCGCTCGGCTCGGCACCACGATCAGCCTCCTCGAGCTGGACAAAAATGTTATGTTTGTGTTCGAGCATCCGTTTCACACAGCTCTTTCGTTCCAAAAGGTGCGCCTCTCTCTCTTTCGTACAAAAAAGTTTCTTGTTAGTTCTCTCACCACTCTCTCCTCTCGCCACCTAACAGGGAAATCCAACTAACTCGATCAGTCAGTCCATCTCATGCTAAAAACTTCCATTGATTTCGATCACCAAACTCTTGTAAGTGGCAGGCAGCAGTGCCCCATCGCATGGTCTTAAAATCCTTCACTGTCTTCTCGTTTTGCAGAATTTTTTTCCTTCTCATCGTCGACAAATTCTAATTCCTTTCTGATTCTACAGGCAGGGAATCTCGACAGTACCCAAAAGAAGGTTGCGAGAAAACAAGCTTCGAGAACTTCCCCAGGTTTGCTTCCCTTTCCTTTCGTAAAAGTCGGCAAGAACAGAGTGATTTTTGACAATCAGCAACAACCAGGGATTTTTCTTTTCTCTCCCTCTCTCGCTCTCTCTCCTCTTTTTTCCCTCCTTTATACCAACAGCTTGAATGCTCGACCTGTGTGGCTTTAGTATTTATTGCCATACTCCCAAGTACCATTTCTAGTGTGTGAAACACCCAGAACTCAACTGGGTGCATTTTTTCCCTTCCTTTTTTTCCCTTCTCCGTTCCCTTTTCTCTTTTCAGATACAACACAAGCATCTTCTGCCTCTGCTCTCGTTCTCTAGTTTTTTGAAAATGGCGGCTGATTTCTCGTTGTGCCGACAGTTAAGGCAGCAAATTTTACTAAGATTTCTCCCCCTGATCGTCGCAGTTGTCTTGCAACAACGGGAGCCAGCAGCACTAGCAGTTGCTCCACCAGCGCAGAGGATCGAAAGGAGCGATGGTCTGTGCAGGCAGCTGGTTCATCCATACAGCTACGACTGCCAGGAGTACATGGTAAAATTTGAAGTTTGCAGAGGGAAGTCTAACTAAGCTTTGGGTCTGTGAATCAGGTGACAACGGAGGACAGTTTTCTTCTTGGTGTCCAGAGGATCAAGAGTCCAAAGTCTCCTGCAAGCCGAGGCCCTGTCTTCTTGTATCATGGAGTTCTTATCGTAAGTTCCATTTTCCTCCTGGTTACTCTTCTTTTCTCTTTTTCATTTTGTTGTTTTGTTCTTGTAGGGTGGTGATATCTGGGTGCTCAATCCTCCCTCTGAATCTTTGCCATATATCCTCGCAGATGCCGGTTATGATGTGTGGCTTGGAAACACGCGCACTACAAGCTTCAGTTACGGCCATGTTTCTTACAGGAGAAGCGATCAAGTGAGTGTTCTCTCTCGAAAGTTTTATGTGACGAAACAATCTTTTCTTGCAGGGCTTCTGGGACTGGAGTGTGGATGAATTGTCACGGTATGACCTCTCTGCGATGATCAAGCATACGTATGCCGTCACTGGCAGGCAGATCAAGTTCATTGGGTATTCCGAGGTATCCAGCACTCTTTTCTCTTTTCTTTTAGTTTCGGCTTTTTTCTCCACAACCAGGGAACACAAGCAGCATTTGCAGCATTCTCTCAAGGCCAATTGGTAGAATACATCGAGAAGGCAGTAATGCTCGCTCCCATCGCTTATCTACACCATTTTACTTCACCTATCGGACTTGCCGGCATAGCCATACAACTTGATAAGGTAGAATCGACCCGTTTTTTTAACTTTGCACTGAATGGCTTTTCATTAAGGTTCTCGACTTTTGCAGATTTATGACGCTCTTCATATCTATCAGTTCAGCCTCACCTATCGCTCGTAAGCTTTCGGAAGTTCGTGTGTCACTCATAGTTTTTCTGCTCCAAAACAGACGGACTGGAAAGCAGCTCCTGGATTACCTCTGCCCAAACAACATCAACTTCTGCCAGAAGAACTGGATCACACTTCTCACTGGTATGTAATCTTCCTTTCCATGAATTTCACTCAGATCTTCCAAAACAGGGAACAATTGCTGCTTGAACAACAGCCGATGGGAATTCTACGACAACTACGAGCTCCAAGACACCTCCGCCAAGAACATGAAGCACTTCGCACAGCGTAAGCTCAGAAAAGTGTTCCCTTCCAATTTTCCGGGAAACAAATGCTTGTATCGTACAGAGTACCGTACGCAGACCTTCTGCAAGTTTGACTATGGCGCGACCGAGAACTTCCGGCGGTACCGGTCAAAGTCGCCGCCCTCGTACGACTTGACCGGCATCCCGAGTCAACTCCCCTTGCTCCTCATCAACGGCGGGCGTGACGCGCTCTCGGATCCAACGGACGTGGATCGCCTAATCGCGGAGCTCCCCTCGCGCCCACAGCACCTCTTTATTCCCGACTATGCCCATTTTGATTTCGTGCTTGGCCTCAATGCCAAGGACAAGGTGTACGGTCGGGTACTCTCCTTTTTCGCTGGGTGACACGTGGCACCCTGTGAAGGCTTTTCGTTCTCCCGCGGCTGCGCCAGGAAGTGTGAGACTTTCTTTGTTTGCAGATCCTTCGAGGGGATCTACTGGGAGTTGCCAGTTTCTCTGGCGATCTGGAGTGAGATAATCGGCTCCATCTTGCTGCAATGGAGGAACCGATTCAAACATGTTTGTGGCCACTGAAATGTAGCTCCTGTTACTTTTTGCTCTGAGCCTTTTAGCTAGTTCAATTAAGATGGCATATGGTGGCAATGTATAAATATTTAACCAACTTAATTCAGGGATGTCAACTTAATTCTATAGTACTATGATTAATTTGTTGTCCAACTAAGTAATATTTAAAAAAAAAACATTTTGTACATGATAAATCATTTTCATAGATTTTTTGAATATCTCAAACAAAACAATCCATTCAACATATACAAATAAATCTATCTAATAGTTTTGTTAAAAGTATTTTATACTTTTGTAGTGCTTATTAGTTAATAACTTAATTATTAAAAGTATCAACACTCTATTAAATATTTATAAAAGATTATTAAAACTTATATATGTTTTAAAAAATTAAATATTTTATTTTATATAAATTTTTCAAAGCTCTATATTTAATATCAAAGTAAAATAAATTTATTCAATTATTGAAATTTCAACATATTTCTATTTAATTTTTATTATTGAAATACATAAAACACTATATTAGTAAGTTTTTTTGAAAACTTAATGGCATAAAGCCTCCCCATTTTTTTGTTTTCTATATAACATTATTAGTTATTATTTTAATTGTAGAATATTATAAAACAAATTTAGATATATAATATACAAATAAAATAAACACTTTATACCATAAAAACTTTAGAATAATAAACTTATATAAAGGCAAATTTGTTGGCAAATATGTAGGATACACTTGTGAAATTTAAGTAATGATAACCTTTATTTGATCAAGTCAAAAACCATGGTAAGAAAACAAACTTTTGCCAAAAATATTTTCTCAATTTTAACTGTTCAACATAAATCAAGCTCTCTTCCACATGTAGATCTCCTCTTCCAATCATGCTTCCTCAATATTAATTAGTTTACTTGGACTCAGACTCGGACTTGGTCTCAATCTCAGTCTCGACTATGGCCTCGAACTCAATCTTGGTTTCAGTATTAGTTTTTTGTTTTTAAATATAAAAAATTGGTAATAAGTTTTTGGTGTGGACTATTATTAATATATATATATATATATACTAACTATTGATATAAGTTTCAAAATATATATATATTTACAGGAGTAAAATTGATATATTTTAAAATTAAATTAACAAATTCATGAACATATATATTAAAACTAGTTAAAAATTATTTATAATACCATCAATTTAAATTTTTTTATTTTGTTACTATTATTTATGTTAAAGCATTAGAAAGTGAACATTCATTGTTATTAATTATAAAAGTGTAGAGATCTAAATATAAATCATTTTCTGAAATTATATTTAGAAAAGATTTAGCTTTGTTTTTTCAATAATGTTTTTAATCTTTTAATATAATATAATAAATCACATTTATAAGTTTCTTTGATAAAAATATTATGATAAATAAAATTAAATATTTATTTTCTCACTAGTTTAGTTGAGGAATATTTATATTGTTTTTATGTATATATTTATAACTTTAATATAAATAACAGTTTTATATATAACCTTTCGATTTCTTTATAATAGTTTTGTCATTTTCCTTATCTGTGAATATGGATATTATAATTAGCTTACTTGACATCTTTTTACTTTTGTAAAAATTTCTTTTTTGTATGCAATCATTGGTAAATCCATGCAATGAGAGATATTTTCATTGATAGTGATAAAAAAATTGATGGGTATAAAATTAATTTTTTACTTGATTTTAAAGCGAAATAAAAATTGATCAAATTATGAATATATGGCCTCATTACATCTATCTAATCTCCCTAGAACCCTAAATAACAAATAAATATAAATATGAATAAAAAATAAATTTTGATATCTATGTTGGAGGTTAAAATATTCAAATATTATACAGCTTGCATAGATAAACAATAAAACTTTTCATAAAAATTACAAAAAAGTTTTTGCTTATCTTTATGCATATTTCTAGAATATTATAATAACAATAATTCTTCACTTTACAATGTCCTAAAAAATAACAATAATAATAATAATAATAATAATAGAAAAATTGTGATATTCTGGCAAACCATTACCTTTAAATATGGACATGTGTAAAATTAGGGCACTGATTAAAGTGAAATAACTTGTTGACCTTCATGCATTCCATCAAAGAGGGCCTTGGCTTAGTCAACATGCCACTCTTCTTCTGCTCAAGGCATCCTTGTTCTCTTGTGAATAATTTGCTTTCTAGCAAGATACACAGACCTACTAAATGTTTTTATAACCATCACCTCATAAGTTATTCACGAAAAGGGTGCAGTTTGTGAGTATGAAGGGGAAGAGTGGTTGGGGCTTGATCACAACGCAATGCATTTATTATGTGAGGGAGAGCTCGCTCATTGTCTACTTTTACTCATGAATCCCTTGGCACCAAAGTTTGGAATCACTTTCATTCAAATTAAATGTAAGGAATGGAAAATGATAAAAGGTTTATGATGCTAGCAAAGTTAACACAGCACCACGAACTCCATGGAAATCTTCTAGTTAAGTTTTGGGAGCTTCGACTCCTCCTGGACGGAGATGATCCATGTGTGTAGTGTATCTACGTCGCCCTTGGTCAATCTCTTGCCAAAGAGTCGAAAACAGTGAGCTTTGTTACTTCTGGGGCCTCCACATTGTGTTTGAAGAAGATGTGGAATCCATTTGATCGCAAGAATCCTTGCCCAAAAGATCCGAATCGTCGACAGCTTCATCGCCAACCCATCCTCTTTTAAACCCGTAACTTATATAATCCCTTTAACTAACTACCTATAGCCTTTTGCTTTCCCATTTATAGTTACTTACTAAAAATAACTAACCCTCGCATTTCTAGGGTTCTTGGATCGGCTATTTCGGAATCGCGAGGTGAGCGCTGTGATTTCCTGGCATTCTCCTGATTGGTAGCTCTGGATCGCCTGGCGAGGGCTGTATTTCGTAGGATTTCTCGCGTTTCTTGGATCCTTTCATGTGAATCTTGCCGGAGCTTCATCACTGGGATAGATAGAGCGTATGAGCTTCTTGATCGTTAATGTCTGTGGAGGATAGGACGAGATCCCGGCATTGTTCTATCACACTGCTCACGTTATTTATATTTAATCCACAGATGATTCAAGGAGTAACCAGGAACTCGGGGCTGGCAAGCAAATTCTCCCTCTCCTCCTCACGAAGCTGGATGACAACGGTCATGGTTCCATCTCTCGACCACGGGAGAAAGACGACGGTATCGGCCAATCTCACTCCAGGGCTGGTGACAAGCACAGGCTTCCCGCATCCAAATTCCAGCTCGTACAGAGAAAATCGAGCCCAGCTGGTAAGCACGATTGGTTCCGACCACAGTGATGGAATCATGTCGACGTTGTGCTGCTGCTGGATCCAATCCAAGAACCCGCCGATGTAATCGCCTGATACGTTCTGGATGGCGTCGTGGACAATCTTTGTGGCAAAAGACAGTGGTTTTGCCACCAGCTCGTCAGCTTGAGCGATGGCTTGAGCGGAGAAAGTCGCGTTTCCAAAGTACTCCTTGGGAAGACCTGGAAGTCGAGTCCTTCCATCCACAGGTATGACAAGCTTGGCTTCCTTCCACGCTTTTTTGCGAAGCTTGGTGCTGTATTTCCAGATGTGAGCTGCCAAGACTTCGAAGCGGGTGTAGTTTCCATCGCATTGGTCCTTCAAAACTTGCATCTGGCTGCTGGTGAAGCGAAACATGCAAGGCTTGATCTTGGCAGAGGTCTTGAAAAGAGAAGTATAATCCTGGTCATACTCTAGAGCCGGCGAGGTCTTGCTGGAGTTGAAGAAGGAACGATCGAAACAGGGAGGGTGAACGAGATCATGGCCTCCTGAAGCGAAGTGAGACCACGTCTTCATGAACAGGTCCATGGCAGCTCCATCTCCAACACTGTGATGCATCGCTACGCCCAAGCTCCAGCCTCCGCATTTAAATCTTGTCAACTGGACGAGCAGTAGAGGAACTTCCGTGACATCTTCGGCTGGAAACTCGCCACAGGGACACAGGGCATTGCAGCGTGACTCCTCAAAGCTCTCCAGCTTTTCATCCATAGATGCCTCGAAGAAGTCAACTCCACGATCGTTGCATTCCAGCTCGAGGCCTTTGTCGCCGGGGAGGAGTCGATAGCGGCCTGCCAAAGGATAACACACGGACAGTGCTCCGGACAGGGATTTCTTGAGACTTTCCGAGGACAGTGGCTGATCCTGAGGTGGTGCAAACAGCAAGACAAACGTTATGTAGTTGCGAGCTGAGATTTGATCGAGGACACACAGAGCTATCGGCTCCCGTGCTGGAGAAGGAAGCTTTGGCTTGATGATATCGTGCTGCCTGGACTCGAACTTCATGGCTACTTGACATCGTCTGTGGAGGTCTCCGCCTATAATTTATACAAGGTTTGCCATGTCTTTAGCACTTTGGGATCGCTACTGTTTGAGATTCTGACCGTCTGCTGGCACGAATCTCGAGAAGTCAAAGATGTTCTTCCAAGGACACCAGATCTTACCACTTTTCTCTGAAGCAATGTAGTGCATATCCGGTGGTTCTCAATCAACGTTGTGGAGTGGAAAAAGTACGAAAAAGCTACTCGAGCTGTAAGATATTCCCGTGTCCTTGAGTTCATACTAAAATGATTCCAGGAAAGTCCTTTCTTGTATCGTGGCGGGCCATTGTTTCCGTAGCTTTTGTGGAGTCCTTCACTTCGTGCAACATCAAAAGACGAGAGAAATCGATAAACAAAGGCAGATAGTCATCCATGGGCGGCGATCGAAGAAAACAAACCAAAAGCTTGCATTTGTTTAGTCCGTTAGTCTTTCTCTTGATGGCAACGAACTAATAAAGAACAAAATCACTTTTTTACTTGCGCAGCTGCATCGAATCGAGTGGAAAACTGATAGATGAGAAAAAAATCTATCGCGACGAAAAAGACTGGGAGCATCCATGGCCGTGAACTCCAGGAATAATCCGCGGACGAGAGTATCAGTGGTGTAGGGGGCATGAAACTTGGAGGTGGTGACAAAGAGCTCGCTGCCAAAGAAACTGGAAAGTCATTGATGGTGCCGAGCATCAAGGAAAAGGAAACAGGCAATAAACAGGGACTTCGAAGAAGAACAGTTCATCGATCCAGAGAACGCAAGAGGTTTGATCAGGCAATCGAGCAAAAGACCAGGAACTAACGAAGGAACTTTGGATCCATTCCAGGACTGGAAGGAAGAAGAGCGAGAGGAAGTTTACCTTGGATGTTGCAAGTGGAAGAGGGATCAAAGACTGCGAGGCTGCAGAGCTTGGGAAGATCGAGCATGGCGAGTGTCACATTGTCTCTCGCGACGCCCGAGGCCATGGGCTCGAGATCGCAGGCGCAGCTCGCATTGGATCGGACGACGTGCTCAAGACCCGTGCAGCAATCGTCCGATGGAGCCGCCTGGCGGGCCTGGACGTAAGGTACGCACGGCGAGAGCAGCGGTTGGAGCGATTGACAGTCCTCCACCGCCGGGCCGGAGGGAGCGATCGCGTCTGCACGAATGCTGCCCAGCGCCAGAGGAGGAAGAAGAAGAACAAGAGCATGAAGAAGATTCATGGCTTTGCTTTTCCCCTTTCGGAAATTAGGGCTCTTTCCTTTAAGCCTTTGAAGTTTGAATGTTGACCAGACCGTTTCTTGGACCGAATACAAAATAATCTCTCTCTAGAAATTTTTACTCGGGACCTTTATTGGTCACCGCATTTAAATAAGAGCATTTTTGTGTTAGGAATAAGTTTTAGTTTACATTATGGAATTTGTGTTGTTCGTATTATTTCTTTTTATTTAAGTTTTTTTTTCCTACTTACTAATTAATTTTACAAAACTTTTGCAGTGCAACCATGAAATTACAATTTAAACTAAATGTGGAAATATTTTCAATAGATATGGCACTGATGGAGATGTATCTGTAACTATTGCAACTGATTTTGCTTCAACATTTAATCAAATAGCAGAGACAATGGTTTATTTTTACAATTTAAACAATGATGGCAATGATTTTGAAGCATGTTCTCTTGATCAATATACAAGGAGTGGGACATGTATTAATTTTTTCTCAATGAGACATGGACTTTCTTCTAGTGGATTTCAATCAATAAGTGCTCCTTGGACTGTGGATTATATTAAAGTATCAAGCAATGGAATTACTCGCACCTTTCTGATATATAAAGAATTAAATCCAAACAAACCTGGTTTATCCACACCTCAATATGATTCAATTGATGTTAACTAGTGCTAAAATTTAGCATAAAAAACTATCAGAATAAATGCTTATATTTTGAAATTAAATTTTAGAATTGTGACTGCTTGGAATATGGAAAGGGAATATAAAAAATATGCATATCAATTAGCCCAAAAACCCTAGTTTATATATAGGAGTGAATAGTCCAAATTAAAACCAATCTAATAGTTACCAAAATCCCACAACACTAATATTAGTATATGGCATCGCAGCCATAAACTTGGCCCTCACATCATTCCCTTCTCTTGGAATAATGGAAGACTATCAAAGTTCTTTTATAGATGGGTCAGGATCTGAAGGAACGTCAGGAGGAGGTATAGGTGGATCTATAGGTGATATTAATTGCTTATGATCCCTTTGTATGAAGTGTTTCAACTATTGCACATACACAATGTCTAAAGGATCAGCCTGCTAGACGTTATGCCAAACTTCATAAACTTGTGGTCCAACTTGCTGCAACACCCGATATAGTCCTTTCTATTTGCTTTGCACCTTGTGGACACTTAAACGTCAAATATAGTAACTGCTGACGGCATAGAATCCCTGTCTAGAAAATCCACAGATGCTGGAATAATAGGCTCATTAGAAACATGAGAACAGAGTGGAGAAGGAAGAGGAGCTCGAGAAAAAGCATCAGCATCAGCCATAGAACTCTCAGGGCGATGAACAACATCAAAATCATATATCTGATCAGCGCTCCGAGAAACAGTGAGTATAGATCTCCTTACCCAATCGTTTCTAACAATCAATTATTTTTCCGCAGCTCGTGGAAGTTCCAGACGTTTCTTGGGAAGATATCGGCGGCCTGGAGTCAGTGAAGCGAGAACTTGAGGAGACAATGTGCTCTACAAACGTCCCAAAGAAAGTTTTGCCGAAGAAAAACTCACTCAAGCCAAGAGGCTCCACATACCTCTCAAAGCCCACAGAGTAGTATGACCAACCAAGTTCTTTCACTTCAATAATGAAGTAATGGCAGCATGGTCACCTTCAAGTAACATCTGAGAACCATGTAGATATGCATGACGTTTCTCGAAACCCCAAACTGCTACTAAACACTCCTTTTCTGTCGTGGAATATTTCACTTCTGTTGGTTGTAATATATGGCTTATATATGCAATGGGATGGTGCTGACCAAGCACACTCGAACTCTCTTGCATTAACACACCTTCAAGACCAATATTAAAAGCATCCATGTGTAAAATAAAAAGTCGAGTGTAGTCAGGATATGCCAAAACCGGAGGAGTCATTAATAGCTCTTTGAGATCTATGAACACTCGCTCACAATCCGGAGACCAAATGAAAGATGACGTTGATGACTTCAACAACACTTGCAATGGTGCAATGCAATTGGAAAGATGATCCACAAAACGACCAAGATATTACACCTAAGCGCTGCATATCATTCACACACTTCGGAGTAGGAAACATTATAATAGCCACAAGTTTGTCAAGATCACCTTGCAAACCCTTATGGGAAATATGGTACCGAAGATAAGTTGTGTCTTTGGACCCAAACACACATTTTGATCGCTTCAACCTTAAACTAACGTCTCGTAGTTGATCCAACACTTTACAAACATCACAAATGTGCTCCACCCATATCCCCTCCGAGTGGATCAAAATATCATCAATGAAGTAACAGTCACCTCCGGCATATCGCAAAAAATTTCATCCATTATCCATTGGAAAGTTGCTAGAGCATTGTTTAAACCAAACAGCATCACCAAGAATTTGTACAAACCAAATGGTGTAAAAAAAACAGTCTTAGGAAAATTTTTTTTAGCCATTGGTACTTGTTAGTACCCAGAAGCAAGATCTAGCTTAGTGAACCAATGACTTCACCCTAGACGATCCAAAAAATCAGCAGTGTGAGGAAGAGTGGTACACATTTGGGATCATTACTTCATTTAACGGATGATAGTTGATGCAGAAACAAATACTCCCATCAAGCTTCATCACAATATGAGGTTCACATGCCCAAAAACTTAGTGGCCGAATGCGGTCTGC